GTTCGAGCACAACCTCCAAACCTTCTTCACAGGAAGTGCGTCCATTCCAACCATACCGCAGGCACAACCATGCACAAGAGCGGTCTCATGCGGATTGATCTTAAGGAATGACTTCGTAGCGGACCATCCCCAGTAAGCACAACGTTGCGGCCACTCAATGACCCAAGTTGCCGAATCAGATGTGTTGACTAGCTTCAAGAAGCTCTTCCAGAGCTTTCTGTGGACTGTGAAAAGTCCTTTCATCCTTTCATCATAGTGATCTGCAGATCGGGCTTGGTGATAGCGCTGCCAAGGCGAACCACCGGTACAGGGCGTCGAGGCCCACACAACAACATGCATGTTCCGACGGTGTGCCGCACGAAGGGCGTGCTCAATGAGCTCGATGGTCTCCGGAAGAGTCCCATCCGTTTCTTCCGTCACGGGAATAGCATGGATGCCATAGTGGCTAGCAAGCTTAGTCAACCAGGCTTCTCCAGAGGTGCAGAACTCGACCATCACAATGTAATGCGGTGTCTGCAACCGACAACGACCAACCAACACACTCCAAGGATCATCGACGCTTGCAGAAAACAGACCTTTGAACGCGGCAAACACAAGGCAACGGACCGGGGGCGCATCACCTCGAAGATAGTCACTACGGGTGAGACGTTCCTCAAGACACAACTGTCCTATATGATACCAAGTTTGCGCGACACTCAAGTTCTTTGTTTGCAAGTCGGCGACGTTATCCGTTCCTGGGACGTGTGTAACCAGGATCTCGCCGTTCTCAACCTTATCCTGCAAGTAGCAAAGACGAAGGTCCACATGACGCATCCTTCTCAGGAAGCCGGACATCATACTGACTTGGCGAGCGGAAGAGCTGTCCGTAGGCAGGTATAGGGGTTGCGCAACGCTTTCGAAAAGGTGGCCCAAAAGCTGCCCCAATCCTACAAGCTCGCGCGCCATCTCAACCATAGCGAAAAGCTCAGACTCCGCACTGGAGAGTGCTACGATAGGCTGGAGCCTCGAGTAAGTCTTGATACAATTCCCATTCAGGTAAATCACTCCTCCGCTGGTGCTCTTCCGTCCAGTAGAGCGCTCAGAGGCCCAATTAGCGTCGCTGAATCCAACGAGGGTTGCAGTCCCAGGTTGAGCTTTGGAGTCCTTCTGAAAGACCTGAACAAGATCGGGAACCTCCAAAAGCCAACGGAGCACTTTACGCATACAATCCTCATGCACAGCGCGCGGACAGGCTTGACCTCTAGACAGCATGGAGTGAAAATAACACAAATCCCCCCTGGTTTGCACAAGCCAGCCTAGTTTCCCTAGGGTGCTTCTAAAGCGGCTCGCGGCTTCAGGGGAGAGCTCTTCGGAGGGCTTCTCGGGGTCTTCCTTGTCAAGGATCGATCGGAGGTCTGGTGGTGCAGTGCAGGGCTTCATCTTCCTGCGGTTCTCCTGGCTCCACCCAAAAGCCTCGAAGATCGAATCGACGTATTCTTTCTTCACAGCCAACAAGATCTCATGGCCACGCTTGATTATCTCACGGCCTAGGAATCCGATCCTGCCGTCCTCATCCAAGCGTCCAGTCAACTTGACCTTAAGACGGCCCATGAGGAAGTCTAGAAGCTGTTGGTTTGCCTCTTTCGTTCTTGTGGCTAGCAAGATGTCGTCGACGTACACAAGACAAAGCACAAGGATGTCTCCCCAATACCCTTTGTACAACGTAGGTTCAATAAGAGAAGGAAACAATCCCAACTCAGCAAGAAGTCCAGCAAGATGCTTCTGCCACGAAAGGCCTGCCGATCTCAAGCCATATATGGCTTTCTCCAGGATGACGTAAACCTTAGAGCCATCAAGGTTCTGAAAGCATCCCGGCAACTCAAGCACGGTATCAAGAACCAACTTGGCATACAAGAAGGCAGTCGAAACGTCAAGTCCCCAAAGGACAAGCGTATCCTGGACAACACGACAGATGAAAGCCTTGAAGGCCTCCACAGAAGCAGTCTGGCTCGCAATGCCCAAGTCAAGCGCCGAAGGTTGATTGAAAGCAAAGTCTTTTGCAACAAGGCGCGCACGCACAATGTGCTGATCGTCAACATCAACCTTGTCAGTGAAGACAAAACGCGACTTAATGATCTTGGCACCTGTCTCCTGGCAGTGGGTCTTAATCTCATCATAGGTGCGGGCGTTGCCGACACCCAAGTTGTGCATAGCAGACACCTCTTTCTGCATGCCAACCCACGTTTTCTCAGGATCCAAAGGCAAGCCACTGACATCATCAACCACAGAAGTGGGCTTGATGACCCACACCTCCCGATCACCGAAAGGCATGGCTACCCCCTCATCGGGGTTACTGTGCTGAGCGGGTGCTTTTCTCTTAAGCTGAGCAGCAAACAAGCCGACCTCACCGTAATCAACAGGACTCAGGTGATGCTTCTGGTCCGGAATCACTGAGAACATGAACTGAGGCATGCTCGCACTGTCAAGGACATCCGGGACCTGAGCAACATCCATGGGCACAGTGTAGTCGTCCATATCAACCTGATCCATCTCAACGTCCCCACCAGGGAGATACTCCTGAGGGAGCTCAGAGTCTTGGGCTGCTTGTGAGGGTTCGGGCACCAGGTGCTGCAGATCCTCAGGAACAGGAGACCCAGGAAGACTGGGCTCGTAGTCCAAGCTCTCTTCTTCAAACTCCACAACTTCAGGGTTCGGGTTGATTTTTACTTGAGGCTTGTCAGGGGCTTGTTGCTGTTCAGGATTGTCAAGATCACCGAGCGTATCCCTGATGTAATCACGAAAGCGAACTTTGCAACGCCTAGAGTGGAAGCGCGATCTACCTAAGCATCCCGGACAACGTGCCGTTTTGTTGTTTTCAAGCCATTCAGGCGCCGGTTGCGGCAACGGGATTGCTTTCCTCGGTAGGGCCACCCCTGGTAGGCTTTCATAATCAGGCTCATCAGGATTAGCCTCGGCGATAGTGGGTAACAAGTTCGACGAGAACGTCACTGGGTAGGCCATCTTGAGAGCCCGGGCGACGCATCTTTTCATAGACCCATTTGAGAGTCTGATCATGCAGTGATGCCCTTGCCCACCAATCACGGGGCCGAGATAGGCACCAATGTCGTATCGACCATCAACTTGTGATGCAAGGTGTTCTGGGGGCTGAATGTACATGATGCAAGCGAAAGGAAACAACAAGTGAGGCGTGTGACTCTCACCCAAAGCTCGCTGCAAAGGACTCAACAGTTGACCCTGTGACGTTCCGAACCGGTTGTGTGAAGCAGCCGCATGGCTGTGAAGCAATTCCATCGCTTCCTCATTAGCCAACAGTTTCAAACCACTCACACCCTTAGCATGAAGCTCGTTGGCCAAAGCTGTTTCTTTAAGCGTTCGGATCGCTCTCTCAGCTACCGGGGCGTGTCTGTTAGGCGAGGTTTTCGTAGAAACTGAACTCCCACCTGTAACCTCAACGACCTCGGCTGCCATAGCTGCTAAAAGCGGTTCCCCGTCGTGCACAACATGAACCTCTTTAAGGCCGAATGATTTGAGGAATCTGACTAGCTTACCCACCGTGACCTTTCGGTTATCTCCCACACAAGTCGCAGCTGTCCCTATACAATATGTCGGCACGTGCACCACAGCGATCAAACGGATGCCTCGATACCAGTATTGATCCATCTGCACCTCAAGTGGGTCGACACTTTTGCGTGTTCGGGCGGGCGCTAGCCCTTTAGACCTTACACAGCTAGGACAGCCACCCCAGTAGGGGGTATGACCCTGACGTTGGTGGCGCAATCTAGCTTCGGCACCGATGTTTTCGGGGAGAGCTTCTTCAGGGTCTACCGGGGGTTTGGTGTTGTTCGGGGTGGTTCTCTCTAACCCTTCACGGTCATCACCATCATCATCAAAAAGCTGCTCTAGCTCTTCAACACCAATGGCACCACCCACATCACCTGAATCAAGCAATGGGCGACCGACCGACATGCACGCTGAACTACCTACTGGCACGCAGGCTGCACGACCTACCTGCAAGCAAGCTAGACTACCTACCGGAACACAAGCTGGGCAACCTACCTGCACGCAAGCTAGACTACCTACCGGAACACAAGCTGGGCAACCTACCTGCACGCAAGCTGGACTACCTAGCTGAACACACGCTGGGCAACCTACCGGCAGCACTTCTCTGACAGCGGCACTCTGCAAGAGAACTTCACGAGCTCTCTCTTTTGGCTGCTGCTCAAGAGCGGCTAAAGTTACAGGTCGCTGTCGCTGCTGATTGCCTCGACCTCTTCGAGGTCTATAAGCGGAGGAGGCAAAGGTGCCGGTTTCGCTGCCGTTGCCAAACTGGTCGGCGGCGCCACTGGTATTTCCTCTGGCGTGGGCATCTCGATGGTGTAGTGAACGCCCACCACTGCACGTGGCTTTGGCGCATGCTTGGATGCCGGCATCAGCTTCTTTGGTGTAGGCCTTGGTGTGGCTGGCGGCGGCATGAACGACGGCCTTGATGTTGGAACTGGCGCCCGGAGAGAAGGCGCTGCCGTGGGCGTTGGCATCGGCGCTGAACTCGGCGCCACTGGTACTGTACTCGGCCTCGGTGTTGTGGTCGGTCGGGCCGGATAGGGCCTGTAGCGGTAATCCATGGGGATCTGCGGGGGCACGTGCATCTGCATGGGCACCGGAATCTACATAGCAACCTGCATCTGCATTGTTGCTGGCACCGACCTTTGAGCTGGAACTCGAGGAGGCTCCGGCGTATTCTCCACCTTGGGCGCCGGAGGAGGGCTCGGCATCCTTGTCGAAGCGGCCTTTGCTTGAGCACTGGCCTTTGCTCGAGCCGCGGCCTGTGCAAAGTCCGTCACTTCTCTCTGGCCCAAGAACCCCATCCGGGCACCTTCCATGGCCGAGAAGGGCATATGCCTCGTCGGCACCACAGGATCCACCGTCGCCACCGGAGGTGTTGTTGTTGCCACCGGCTTTGCCACAGGGGCCGGCGATGTCAAAGGAGCCGGGGTTGTCACAGGAGCCGGCGATGTCATAGGAGCCGGCGTTGCCACAGGAGCCGGCGTTGTCAAAGGAGCCGGCGTTGTTGTAGTCGCGCCCTTCGGCGGCTTTGGAATCGCTGCCTTCGGACCCTTCGGCGGCTTTGGAACCGCTGCTTTTGGAACCTTTGGAGCGGCAGCCTTCGGAGCGGCCCTCGGTGGAGGTGGTGCTGTCCAGATGTTGGGCGGCGCTGGCGCGGCCTTTGGCGGACTCTTTGGCGGACTCTTTGGCGGTGTGGTTGGCCCCTTTGGTGGTGTAATCGGAGACTTCGGTGGTGTGGCTGGCCCCTTTGGGGGCGTACTTGGCACCATAGCTGTTGGGCCTGGGGCCTTCGGTGGAGTCACAGGCTGCTGTGCCCCACGTATTGCGGACAACACCCCCTGCCTCCTTTCGCTGGCTCGCTGCCTGAACTGGGCTAGATCCGCAATTTTCTCCTGCATAACGGCGCTCTGGGAGCTGGCTGCGGGCGCACCCGAGCCAGGAGCAATGTTGGAGGCTGTGGTGCTCGACGTTGGTCTCCATTTGCCCCAACACTCGTCCTCGTCCGTCTCCTCCTCCTGTGCTTCCACGCTCATAGGGACCGTGCTCGGCTCCGGCACGGGAGGCATAGGAGTTGTATCCGGCTCTGGCATGGGTGGCTTGAGAGGAGCCACTTTCCCACGCCATGCGTACACAGGAGTAGTCACGACCGGGCTGTCTGGAGAGTCTTGCCTGGCCAGTGCCTTGGCACCAGCCTTCGTAAGAGCGCCGCGGGGAGAAGTCTCCGATCCTGGCAGAATCAACGGACTCGGCGGCTCCACCGGGCTGCTTTCGAAAAGGCTCGCAAAACTCATCGGCGGACTCTCTTCCACCTCTGCTGTCGGCAAGTCCGGCTCTGTGAGGTGAGGAGACAATTCCGGGGAAGAGACCGGAGTCGGCAGCGCCACGTCGTTGGAGAGCTCCGTCTGCTCCGCCGGCAACCTTTGAACCCGGAAGGTCGAGTTCTCCATGTCCTGGTCCTCCATCTCTTGGTCCGGATTCGAACCAGACATCACGCCTTACACACCCTATTTGGCCTTCCGAGCATGAGCGGCTTTGGGCTTCGGGGTATTCACTGCCGGGACCTAAAAGGTGAGAAGACGCAACCGACCGACCGACGCACAAGCTACCTACACTCCTAGATCCTACTTCTCCTAAGGGGTGAGACGAGGCAACCGACGAAACTGCACTGCCTACGCTTCCCTTCTCTTCACTTTGCAAAACAAGCATAGAAGGATCTGGCTCTACATAGGTGCAAGCTTTCAACCACGACGTGTTGGCGTACAATTCTGTCTCAAAGCGCAGACCACCCGGAGGATAGGCTACGTGTAACTGAGGATCATAGTCATAATGAAAGATCCTAAAGCCTAAGGACTGCAAGATGCCTGAGCTAAGGATGCTTATCGAATTGGGAGCAATATACGCTTCCAGCTGCACTCGAATCTCTCTGTAAGTTTGGGTTCCAGAGGGCCCCTCTTCGAAACAAGGGAACCAAAGCTCTAGCAACCCATACCTAGTTATCTCCATAGTCTGGTCGTTGGCGACACTTACAAAGAGAGGCTCAACCTCAAGCTCTCGGATCAGCTTCGCAGTCACTCCAAGCATGTCTTGCGAAACAAGGTGAACACTCCCACCGCTATCAATCAAGAGATACGAGGGGTCGTCCCTAGTGACTGCAGGAAGTGCCAAAGTTGGAAAAGCAAGGCACTCTGAAGACCGATCCCGAAGCTGAGGCTGCGGCGCGGAAGCAAGGCTCAAAGCAATCACTGCTACGGCTACGCAAGCATACGTGAAACATGACTGCCGTGGGCTACTCAAGCATGCAACCAACCGACAAATCAAGCATCCTACCATGCAAAACATGAAAAACGTGAAAATCAAGGCAGTCATGGTGAAAAACTGTCCCCTCTCAGGCATTGCTTCAGAAATCTGCCCTGCCGCGGGCAACAATGACGACATAAGGAGGGCCGCCTTGCCAATCTTCCCGGCACCCTTTGGAGCAGTGGGAGCTGGCGCAGCATTCGAGGGAGGTGCAGGAGGGGCCACCTTGGGAGCAGCACTCTCTGTTGCCGCCGCTGCTGTCGCAGCAGCCTTCTCATCGGCAATCCTCTTCCTGCACTCGTTGGCCCAATGGCCCGGCTTGTGGCAGTAATTGCAGGTGCCCGGCTTCTTCTTCCCAGGAGCCGGCGTCGAAGATCGGGCCCTTCCGCCCTTCTTGCCACCCTTGCCTTTGTCCTTTCCCTTTCCTCCTTTGTCCTTGCCTTTGCCTTTATCACCATGCTTGCCTTGGTCCTTCCCATGACCTTTTCCTTTGGGCTCGCCACCCTTGGGCTCACCCTTTTCAGAACGGTCACCACCAAAAGCTGCAAAGCCCTTGGCGTTCGAGGCTTCCTTGTGAAAGTTCAAAACACGAAGCTGCTCATCATAGAAAACCAAACCGCGCTCAAGCTGCTCCAAGGTTGTCAAAGACCCATGCAACAAAAGGTACTTCTTGCAATCATCATGAAGGTGCTTCAAGATGCAGCTGATAACATCAGCCTGCTGCAGTTCAAGGTCTGGGTACTTGTTGGCAACGAGCGTGCGGTAGCGAGCAAAATCAGAAATCATATGGCGAAAAATATCCAATGGCCGTCTCAAGTGCTTTGGTGGCGCGATCAAGAGAGCCTGCTCTCTGAGCGCCTGTCCCTCCACACGAGACCTAACAGACAGTTCTTTGTTCAACTCACGCCAGAGGTCGTACCCTGCAGCGGCACCGCCTTGACTCAACTCGACAAGCTTGGCTATGTCAACTCCTCGCTGAAAACCAGCGAGAGCCTGCTTCAAGAGGTACCACAGCTTAGTGGAACGAGCGGCCTTCCCCTTTGAGAGGCTGATCTGCTGAACCTGAACACCGCTCTCCACAGCCTCTTGCAGTTCCTCCGCGTAGCGGTCGTCTAAAAGACACAGCCAGGAGGTCAGTTCTTCGCGGTAAGCGGTCCACGTGGAGATTTCCTCATGGCGCGATCTCATCTTGTCTGCTGCCAACTTTGGCAGGGACGGAATGTAGTTTTCCGCCCTGTTGCTGCGCAAGCCTGTGTCCACATCCATCTTCACAACACCATCAGAGTCAACTCTGAAGGAGCCCAGAGCTGCAGCAGGCGTCTCTTGGGACGAACTCGCAGCAACGGGTGCTGCACTTGCGGCCGAACTTGCAGCATTGCACTCGCAACGGCGAGCGTCTTCACCATCTCGGTGAGCTGCGAAATCTGGCCCTGCTGAGCTCGGATCTGTTCATCCTGGGCTTGCAACATCTGCCTGAAAAGGTTGACAGTGTTGTCTTCTGGACTAGGCACAGTTACCTGCTGCGGAATCCCTCCTCCGTGAGGGAAAGCTGGTTGCGGTCCAAAATGAGGCTGTTGCTGCTGCTGAAAACCCTGCTGCAAAGGAACTTGCTGAGGCACCTGTGCAAAAGGCACCTGAGGCACTTGACCTGCACTCGCAAGAGGTCTGGGTCTACTCACAGGCCGGTGTGCTGTCGGACTGTTCCGAGCAGGAAGGGACCTTCCACGAGTCCGCGAGCCAGGTGCACTTCGAGGGGTTGAGGGAAAGCCAGAAGAAACTCCACTGGCACGACTAGCACTTCGCCCTGAACTCCGTCCTCTTGGGGAACGGTCGCGGCTAGGCTCGGCTCGTGGGTCCATGGCTCTGAGGAGCAACCTTGAGCTCCGCTACCACGTTAAAACCCAAACGCGCCTTGAGGCACACTTCTAGGTTTAGTAAAAGGAGGTGCAAGCCGACTGACTGACTACGTCACGCAAGGCTACAGCAGTGAAAGCTAACAGCACTTTTACACCTTTCGTCGCAACCAACTGTTCACCACGCGCTTGTCACGCAGTGCAAGGCTTGAGCCAATGAGCCAAGTGAAACGGGGCGCGGACAGAGACTTCAGCACACTCACTTCCGAGGTAAGTCCTAAGGACTCCTAACAGCTTCTCTGCACTGGCAACTCTGCTACACGGCCCAGGTGTTCCCCGGACTTCGTCTAGAAGTCCGCTCTCACAGCAAACAAACTGAAAACACTCTGATGTTCATCATGCTTCAGGAAAGTTTAGGGAAACACCATTCTTCGTGAAAACTCGTGAGGAAAACTCCGGTTGGACACGCTTCTGGTAATGATCACTTTCACCGCAAGGTGAGACAGGAAGCGTGAGCGCAGCGACCGACAGACAGACAACTTTTCCCTACTCCTACCGTTCACAGCTACACCTAAGGTTCTCTAAAACTCACTAAGGAGAAAACAGAAAGTGTTCCTGACCTTGGCGAGACACAGGGGCACCATTATAGGATTGAAAATCAACTGCAGAAAAAGGCATGTGGCGTAGCTGACTTGGCACCTCCGGAGGTACCGCTGTAGATGTGGTCCCCACCGGCGTTGTAGATAGTGTCGTGGGAACCTCCGGTGGCTCTGTGTCCCCCCCTGGCGTTGAAGCTGGTGCCGTGGGGGCTTTCGGTGGCTCCTCCTGGAGCTTCGTAGTCTTTGGTGGCGTCCCCTTTGGCGCCTTTGGTGCGGAAGCCGTCCTCGCCTTGCCCTTTGCCGGCGGCTTCGGGGAAAACCACAGGTGCCACTGGAGGCGTACTCGGCGTCTTCGGTGTTGCCATAGGCTCCTTCGGGAGCGTAATAGGCGACTTCGGCGGTGTAGTTGGCCCCTTTGGTGGAGAAATCGGAGACTTCGGTGGTGTGGCTGGCCCCTTTGGGGGCGTACTTGGCACCATAGCTGTTGAGCCTGGGGTCTTCGGTGGAGTCACAGGCTGCTGTGCCCCACGTATCGCGGACAACACCCCCTGCCTCCTTTCGCTGGCTCGCTGCCTGAACTGGGCTAGATCCGCAATTTTCTCCTGCATAACGGCGCCCTGGGGAGCTGGCTGCGGGCGCACCCGAGCCAGGAGCAATGTTGGAGGCTGTGGTGCTCGACGTTGGTCTCCAGTTGCCCCAACACTCGTCCTCGTCCGTCTCCTCCTCCTGTGCTTCCACGCTCATAGGGACCGTGCTCGGCTCCGGCACGGGAGGCATAGGAGTTGTATCCGGCTCTGGCATGGGTGGCTTGAGAGGAGCCACCCTCCCATGCCATGCGTACACAGGAGTAGTCACGACCGGGCTGTCTGGAGAGTCTTGCCTGGCCAGTGCCTTGGCACCAGCCTTCGTAAGAGCGCCGCGGGGAGAAGTCTCCGATCCTGGCAGAATCAACGGCCTCGGCGGCTCCACCGGGCTGCTTTCGAAAAGGCTCGCAAAACTCATCGGCGGACTCTCTTCCACCTCTGCTGTCGGCAGGTCCGGCTCTGTGAGGTGAGGAGACAATTCCGGGGAAGAGACCGGAGTCGGCAGCGCCACGTCGTTGGAGAGCTCCGTCTGCTCCGCCGGCAACCTTTGAACCCGGAAGGTCGAGTTCTCCATGTCCTGGTCCTCCATCTCTTGGTCCGGATTCGAACCAGACATCACGCCTTACACACTCTATTTGGCCTTCCGAGCATGAGCGGCTTTGGGCTTCGGGGTATTCACTGCCGGGACCTAAAAGGTGAGAAGACGCAACCGACCGACCGACGCACAAGCTATCTACACTCCTAGATCCTACTTCTCCTAAGGGGTGAGACGAGGCAACCGACGAAACTGCACTGCCTACGCTTCCCTTCTCTTCACTTTGCAAAACAAGCATAGAAGGATCTGGCTCTACATAGGTGCAAGCTTTCAACCACGACGTGTTGGCATACAATTCT